GCATATATCCCACACAAACAGAAACCAAAAGCAAGTGGGAGTAACCATGCTTAGAAAAAACAGACTTCAAGTTGAAAGTTGAAAAAAGACAAAGGAGGACATTATATAATAACAAAGGAATCCATTCAGCAAGAAAATATAACAATTATAAATATACCTGTGCCCAAAATGGAGCACCAAGATATATAAAGCAACTATTATTAGATCTAAACAGAGAGATAGACCCCAATATAATAACAGTTGAGGACTTCAACACCCCATTATCTCCCTAGAACAAATCATCTAGAAAGAAAAATCAACAAAGGAATACCAGATTTAAACTGCACCACAGACTAAGTGGCCCTCACAGGCATTTACAGAACATTTCACTGAACAGATGCACAGCTGCAGAATATACACTGTTTTCATTAGTACATGGAATATTTTCCATGATTGACCATATGTTAAGACACAGAACAAGTCTCAAAAAAAAATTTTGATCAAAATTATATCAAGTATCTTATATGACCACAATGGAATTATACTAGAAATCAAAACAAGAGACAAATTTAAAACTATACAAATAAAGGAAAGTTAAACAATATGCTCCTAAATGATCAATGGGTGAAGAAATTTAAAATAAAAACAAAATATTCCTTGTAACAAATGAAAATAGAAACACAACATACCAAAACCTGTGGGACACAGCAAAAGCAGTAGTAAGAGGCAAGTTTATAGCAATAAATATCTACATCAACCAACCAAAACAATTTCAAATAAACAACTTAACAATGCATCTCAAATAACTAGAAAGGCAAAAACAAACCAAACCAAAAAATTAGTAGCAGGAAAAAAATAATAAAGATCAGAGCAGAAATAAAAGACATGGATACCAAAATAAATATACAAAAGAGTAACAAAACAAACAGTTGGTTTTTTGAATAGGTAAAAATCAGCAAACCATTAGCTAGACTAATGGTCTATAGCATTCTACCATTACTCAAAGTAATCTACAGATTCAAAAAAAGAGAGATAGAGGACCCAAACAAATAAAATCAGAAATGAAAAAGCAGACATCACATCAAATACCACAGAAATGGAAAGGATAATTACAGACCACTCTGAATAACCATATGCCAATAAATTTGAAAACCTAGTGGAAATAAATTCCTGAACACATATAACCTACCAAAATTGAACCAAAAAGAAACAGAAAACCTGAGCAGACCAACAACAAGTAACAAGATTAAATCAGTAACAAAAAGTCTACTGAAAAAGAAAAGTTCAGGACTGGATGACTTCACCACTGAATTCTACTGAACCTTTAAAGAAGAATGAATACCAATTCTTCTGAAATTATTCCACAAAATTAAAGCAGAAAAATTTAATTATTCCAAAACCAGACACGCACATGACAAAAATTGAAAACTACCAGGCAAAATCCCTGATGAACACAGATGCAAAAATCCTCAACAAAATATTAGCAAATCAAATCCAATAGCCCCTCAAAAAGATAATACACCATGACCAAGTAGGATTTATCCCAGGAATGCAAGGATTGTTCAACATATGCAAATCAATAAGGATGATACATCACATCAGCAGAATGAAGGATAAAAACCATATGATCATCATAATGATACAGAAAAACTATTTAATAAAATTCAACATGCCTTCATGATTAAAACCCTCAAAAAATTAGGTAGAGGAAAAGCACCTCAATACAATAAAATCCACATATGACAATGACACAGCTAACATCATACTGCATGGGGAAAAGTTGGAAGCATTTCCTCTAGGAACTGGAACAAGGCAAGAATGCCCAGTTTTACCACTGCTGTTCAACACAGTACCAGAAGTCCTATCCAGAGCAATCAAGCAAAAGAAATAAATAAAAGGCATACAAGTTGGAAAAGAGGAAGTCAAATTATCCCTGTTTGCCGAACATGTGGTCTTACACTGAGAAAAACCCGAAGACGCCATTTAAAAAACTCCTAGATTTGATGAATGAATTTAGTAAGGTTGCAGGATACAAAATCAACTTACAAGAATCCCGTGGCATTTCTATACACAAGTAACAATTTAGCTGAGGAAAAAAAAGGCAATCCCATTTACAATAGCTACAAGAAAAATAAAATACGTAAAAATAAATTTAACCAAGCAGGTAAAAGACCTCTGCAAGAAAAACTACAAAACACTGATGAAAGAAATTAAAAGGGATACAAAAAAAATGGGAAAACATCCCATTCTCCTGCATCAGAAGAATTAAAATTGTTACAATGACCATACTACTCAAAGCAATCTACAGATTTGAAGCAATCCTTATCAAAATGCCAATGACATTCTTCACAGAAATAGAAAAGAAAGTCTTAAAATTGGTATGGAACCACAAAAGACCCCAAATAGCCAAAGCAATCCTGAGAAAAAATAACAAAGCTGAAGGTATGTATCATACTACTGGACTTCAAATAAAGTACAAAGTTGTAGTCATCAAAACAGCCTGGTACTAGCAATAAAAACAGACACACAGATCAATGGAACAGCATAGAGAATCCAGAAATCAATCCATATATACAACCAATTGATTTTTGGCAAAAGTGTCAAGAACATATACTGCAGGAAGGACACTCTCTTCAATGAATAGTGCTGGGAAAACTGGATATCCATATGCAGAAGAATGAAACTAGACCCCTCAGTTCTCACTCTATACAAAAAAATCCACTCAAAATGGATCAAAGACCTAAATGTCAGACTTGAAAAACTATCAAATACTAGAAGAAAACATTGGGAAAACACTTCAGGACCTTGGTCTTGAAAAAGATTTTATGAATAAGACCTCAGAGGCATAGGCAACAAAAACAAAAATAAACAAATGGAATCATATTAAACTAAAAAGCTTGTGCACAGCAAAGGAAACAATCAACAGAGTGAAAAGGTAACCTGCAGAATGAAAGAAAATATTTGCAAACTATTTATCTGACATGGGATCAATATCCAGAATACAGAAGAAACTCAAATATCTCCACAGCAAAATAATAATCCAATTTAAAAATGTGCAAATGATCCGAATCAACATTTCTCAAAAGAAAACATAGAAATGGCCAAAAAATATATTTTAAAATGCTCAACATGTTCATCAACAGGGATATGCAAATCAAAACCAAAATGAAGTATCATCTAATGCCAGTTAGGATAGCTATTATCAAAAAGACAAAAAATAGCAAATGCTAGTGAGGATCCAGAGAAAGGGGATTCTTACATACTTCTGGCGGGAATGTAAACTTGAATAGCCACGGTGGAAAACAATATGGAAGTTCCTCAGAAAACTACAAATGGAACTACCATATGATCCAGCAATCCCACTACTGGGCATTTATTCAAAGGGAAGGAAATTAGTATATCAAAGAGATATCCACACACCCATGTTTGTTTATTTCAGCACTACTCACAACAGCCAAGATATGGGGTCAACCTGGCTGTCCAACAACAGATGAATGAATTAAGAAAATGTGGTATACATAAGCAACCAAGTAGTTTAGCTTCCAAACCCATTTTTTTTTCTGAGACGGAGTCTCGCAGTACCGCCTAGGCTGGAGGGCAGTGGCGCGATCTCGGCTCACTGCAAGCTCCGCCTCCTGGGTTCACGCCATTCTCCTGCCTCAGCCTCCAGAGCAACTGGGACCACAGGCGCCCACCACCACGCCCGGCTAATTTTTTGCATTTTGTAGTAGAGATGGGGTTTCACCGTGTTAGCCAGATTACCGGTGTGAGCCACCCTGCCCGGCCCCAAATGCATTTTAAAACATTTTTTCTCTTCTCCTTTCTTCCCAGTCTCAAGTTGTAACCTTGAAACAAACTGTAGGAGCCTTTTCCCCCTTAGTTTTAAAATACAGCCCTGAAACATACTTTGAAACTTCACTCCCTCCTACCATCTCCCCCCATGTACTCCTTTACCCCATGCACGTTTATTTAACTGCATGCTGCTTATATCTAATTATATGCTTACTTAGAAGTTCCAGGGGCTAATCTTGAGACAGACCAAGCATGGAGACGCAGCTGCAAAATTCCAGAGATTATCTCAAGACAGTCAACAACCCAGCCATTGTTGAGATGACGCCAGCTGTGCTCCTGGAGGACCATGGCTCCAGATAGCCACTGGAACAAGACATGCAGACCTTGTACCCAGCACCCCTCCTGCATGCCTCCCATTGCCAATTTCCTTTTTCAATCCCCTCTTCCCAGTCTGAAGTTTGAATCATTTCTGGAGGTTAAGCTGGCCACTTCCCCCACTGCTAGCTTTGGAAATAAAGTCACTTTCCTTTCACTGCACATCGTCCTTGTTACTGGCTTTGCAAGCAGTGAGCAGCCAAGCCTCCCCTCAGTTACACATACACAATGGAATACTATTTAGCCATGATGCACATCGTCCTTGTTACTGGCTTTGCAAGCAGTGAGCAGCCAAGCCTCCCCTCAGTTACACATACACAATGGAATACTATTTAGCCATGAAAAGGAGGAAATCCTGTCATTCACAGCAACACGGATGGACTGGAGGACATTATGTTAAGTGAAATAAGCCAGGAACATAAAGTTAAACAGCCTGTGAGCTAAATCCAGCCTACTACCCATGAGTTAATGAATTTTACATTTTTTAATAGTTGAAAAAAATCAAAAAAAGAACAATATTTTGTGACATGTGAAAATTATATAAAATTCAATGTCCATAAATAAAGTGAAACACAGCAAAGCTCATTAATTTACAATATATTGTCTATGTCTACTTTTACCTGATAGTGGCAGAATTGAGTGGTTGCAACAGAGACTTTATGGCCTGCAAAATTTAAATTATTTGCTACCTGACTCTTAATAGAAAACTTTGACAAACCCTGATCTGAAAAAGTCAGACAGTGATATTGGAAGTGATGTAAGATTTGAGTTATGCTCCCCTGGACCTATGGCCTGCCATATTTACTAACCTATCTCCTAATTCAATGGACAGTAGAGAAAGTGCCAAAAAGTACCTGTCATTTTCCTTGGGGGACCTGAAAATAAAAATTGAAAATATTAAACAGAGTTTGAGACAGGTATTATTGTCACATCATTCATCAAAGTGCAAGTTCTTTGTGTATTTCCTCTGAATTTCTTTGAACTACCTCCTTAAATAAAAATGCTTGCATAGTGTCAGATACTGACAAATTCCTATAGATTGAAGGAAGTGAGCAAAGGTGAAAAAAGCATTCTATTTTAAAGCCATGGTCTTTACTTTCTTCTAAATTTTAAAAATACTTTAAAACAATTCACATATTGTTATTTCTTCATCAAGAAACTTTTTTCAGTAAATCAGCAGAGAACTCCAGTTGTTGGCTTTAACAAAATTGGGAACCTTCTTTTTTGGGATACATGTTATGTAGTGTTAAAATAAGATGGTACACTGTAAAGTAGTAAGGGTTTAGGTAAACGTCAGGACTGACTAATCCACAGGATACTGCACAAACTTTAATATTTATTATTTTATGTAACAGATGCTTAAATAGAACTTTCCATGTGCCAGGAACTGTGCTAAGCATTTTACAAAAATTAGTTGATTTAATCTTCATTAAGATTTATTAGTATCCTCATAATATAGGTATAGAAACCATGGAACAAAGACACTAAATAATTTGCTGACAGTATTTCAAAAGCATTTTTTTAATAAAGCAGGATTAAGGTAAATTGTCTTTTTTATACAAATGAGAAGTTAAATCCTGGAAATACACCCGAAAGCATCCAGCCAGAAGTGCAAAGGCAGGATTTGAAGCCAGGCAAGTTGGCTCCAAAGACTGTGTTGCCCTTCATGTGCTGCCAAATAAGGGAGGCCTTCAAAGGCCTCACATTCCCAGGTTCTCATCTGAGCTTACAGCTGGAGGCAGCATCCTGTTTGAAAACTGCTAAAGTTGAACGGGGGCTACTGGTCATGATATGAGATTAGGTAAGTAGGTCAACTTTAAATACTTGGCCTCTTTCCACTAAACCTGCATCATTAACTAACTAAACAACACTGGAAAAATTATTTAAATTCCCTGTGTTCTGGTTTCCTTATTGGAAAATATGAGCATCGTAACTATCTCATAGCATTGATGTTGGACTTAAATAGTGTGTGTGTAAATATATATATATATATATAAAGCCTGGCACACTGTAAATGCTATATAAGTGCTTGCTGTTATTTCCGGTAAACTCAGAAGTTTTGTCAAGAACAAGCCAAAGTTGAGATGGATAACATCTAAACTTGGGCTACAGCATCACCTAAATCATGGCATTGAGTCTAGCATGAAGGTTCAGAGCAAGAAAAGCTATAAAGTCAGCTGCTTTGTTTCAAAATTCCTCCTCCACCCCAGTTTACAAACTCTTGGCTTTGGGTTAATATTTCATACCTTTAAACCTGTTTCCTCCTCTTAAAAATGAGTATTAATAATATCTATCCTGAGAGGGTTGAAGATTAAGTGAGCTCAGCAATGTGGCATACTCAATACAAAATATTCACTCAGTAAAGTATTCACTCAGTAAATGTTCACAAGTATTATACTGTGGGTCTTAAGCAGGGAGTAAATGTCTTTAAAAGAGGTGTCTGGTTTACTCAGATCTGCTATGTTTAAAACAAGGACTAATACATCCCTTCCAGAGTGGCCTCATACCAAGATGTCAAAATCACCACACTGACAAGCTTTAGGAAAACACTGGGGCCACATCTCGTCTGCCTTCAGGCTCCTATCAGTGCCAAATAAGACCTACGTAACTTGTAGGCAGCAAGCTGGGGACATGAATCCCTGAATTTTTAACCTAGCCAACTTTAGACCTAATATATCTCTTTGAGTTATTATTTGGTCTTTTTCTAAATCAATTTCCTCACCTGAAAAACTAACATCAAGAATACTAATTTACCAGAAATAGCATTAAGTTACAGCATTCAGATCATTTATTGTTAGAATATATATGATAAATATAATGGACATTCTATTCAGAATAAAGAATGCTACTGAACATGTGCATATTTAGAACAAGTCTATTTACCTAAATTCAAGTACACGAATTTCCTTGTAGCCTGGTAACCCAGTAAATGCATTTTCAACCTGTTAAAAATACAAATAAAAATGATAACTATGTAGAAATATGGAAAAATATATAGAAAACAATACTTTTAAGAGTAGAATAAGAAGTGCACTGTTCACAACTATTAGACACTTAGACACTTACCTAGGCATACCCAGGTCAGAAAGTGAAAGAAAAAATTTTACCTAAACACTGCCACATTTTTCTTTTTCATTTTGTCTTTTAAAGTTTTAATGTGCTTTAATATTAATATTTTCCAAATTATTAAAAAGCATATTCCTCGTTGGCAAAGCACTGTTTTTCCCTTATGTGAAGAAATGTGAAAAAAAAAAATTGTTTCAAAAGAAGCTGTAATACCTTTTTTAGTTTTTTTTTTTTTTTTTTTTTTTTCCTTGAGATGGAGTTTCACTCTGCTGCCCAGGCTGGAGTGCAGTGGTGCGATCTCAGCTCACTGCAACCTCCACCTCCCAGGTTCAAGCAATTGTCCTGCCTCAGCCTCCTGAACAGCTAAAATTACAGGCGTGCACCTCCATGCCCGGCTAATTTTTGTACTTTTACTAGAGACGGAGTTTCACTATGTTGGCCAGGCTGGTCTCGAATTCCTGACCTCAGGTGATCCACCCGCCTCAGCCTCCCAAAATGCTAGGATTACAGGCCTGTAATAGCATTTTTAAATGTTATTGTTTGGATTTGAAATCTGGCCACAGCACACACACTGACAAACAGTGTTTGTTTTCTATAAGTGTGAATGTGGCTGGTGACATCTGTTTCCTGCTCCTACAATGAAAGAGAACCACAGACGCACTCAACACTCAGATGAGAGGCTTTGTGGTCAGGTAACTCTGCTGGTCCAAAGACCGATTCATGAGCATCACATCTGCAGGAGCCAGTTTTATTACTGAGTCTTTAAAATCTAGCCATGTAACTCCAAATGAGCTTAGTGACTGGACGTGGAAAATGGTATGCTAGATTGGACTAAAGATGTAAAAATAATCAGGTTGAGGCGGGTGGATCACAAGGTCAGGAGATCGAGACCATCCTAGCTAATACGGTGAAACCCCATCTCTACTAAAAATACAAAAAATTAGCCAGGCATCGTGGCAGGCGCCTGTAGTCCCAGTTACTCAGGAGAATGAGGCAGGAGAATGGTGTGAACCCGGGAGGCAGAGGTTGCAGTGAGCCGAGATCACACCACTGTACTCCAGCCTGGGCGACATATTCCGTCTCAATAATAATAATAATAATAATAATAATAATAATAATAGTAAGATTAGGCACAAATGCATATTTTAACAAAAATAAACATTTAATCTGTAACATTTCAGAAGATGACAACCTCAGCAGATGGGTCACTATGGGGCCAACATCAGAACAAAGGAAATAAATTAATGGACTTTGGCAACATCTCTGGGCATCTGCTTTTAACCAAGTCCTCCTATGAGGAGAGTGGGATTTTTTTTAAATCGTGATTCACTGAAGATCTTTATGCCGTAAGAATAAAGAATCCAAAGCCAAAGAATGAAACGCTTTGGCCATAGTAATATGCCCTGTTTTACTCTCTGAAAGGAAATAAAAAACTGTTATAATTCTTGTAGGGTGGTGGGGAGGGGTAGAAGACATAGGACTAGAAATCAGAAGGCTGAGGTCTCAGCTCTGTTTCTGCTGGCTGAGTGTCCATGCACAGGCCTTCTTTTTTCAGAACTAATACTTCCCTGCCCACCTACCATATTGATTTTAAGATTAAAAGAAATGTACCTAAAAGCACTTCATTAACTGAAAAATGCTGTACAACTGTATGCTATCATTACTACTAATCCCATCTTAGCATAGGCTTTGCCAGCTCTGGAGTCTAAACATGTATAGGTATCCAGTCGCAAGAAGTCATTCGACTTCGACATTGATATTAATAGTGAGTAAAATGTATCAAGGACTGCAATATGTCTGGTGCTTTGCTTTACTTCAAATCTCTGCGACGATCCCAAGAGATAATACATTATTCCTGTTTTATGGATGAGAAAATGGAGATTATAAGATATTAACTAACTTGGCCAAGGTCACACATTTGGTGAGTGACTGAATCAGAATGTATTCAATCCCAGATCTCTCTAACACCGAAGCCCATATTTTTCCCATTGCATTACATTGCCCCTTCCTCTTTCCCCTGCCTCATGATGAATGTGCTTGAGAATTGGGACCAGGACTGGGAAAACTAAGGTTCACTATAACTTCTCCCTTGAATTAAAAGGAAGGGGATTCTGTAGAAGAAGAAGGAGTACTTTGAAAGGCAGTAGGAGACCTGATTTTCATTTCTGTTCCTAGAGAACTACATGACAATGAACAAGTTGTTTGGCCTCCTGAGCCTCATCTGTAAAATGGAGATGCTTGCCTACATGGCTGCTGTGAGCAAACAAATAGAAAGTCACCTGTGGAGCACAAGGCACTATGTGAGGATCACACTGACACTGGCACTGCCCTCAGGCACCAACACTCCCAGGCCCATCACAGTGACTTTCCCCTCTCTGATGTTGTACTTTGTGTTGTCCCAAACCTATTATGCCCCCACTTCTTATCCTTTTACACACACACACACACACACAGAGAGAGAGAGAGAGAGAGAGACAGACAGACAGACAGACAGACAGACAGAAAGACTAATAGCTCCTAAACCTCATTCCCTCCAAGCAGGCTTTCTTTCTTCCTGTGTGTCTTCCAGTAATACCCAGAGAAGCTGAGGGAAAAATCTGTGTGATGGTGTCCTAAAGGGAGGGAGCTGGAGGATCCCCTTCAGTTTGAGACATGATCCCCTGCCTCTGCTGTTTCATGCAAAGTGACTGTTGATAGGCATTTCATTCCAGGTAAGAGGACAGGGAGTACAGAGATAGGCCAGAGAAGGAGGTGTTCCATGGTAGGCCCAGAACCTTAACACCCTCTAATCACCTCAACTCAATAGCTACCTTCCTCATAGAGTCCCTGATGAAGATATTTTTCAGAGTGTTTATTGGACTTCTCTAAATCTGTAGTCATTCCATGCAATTGTTTACCCAAACACTAAGCTATATCAAAAGTTCCTTAATCAAAGGACAGAGAAAACCAGACGGCCAGCCCAAGACACTCTTTGATGCCAGGTGGCCACTGGCCTGGCTGACATTTCTTCCACATACCATGCAGCCTTGCAGCTTGGCCACACCACTAGGAAAATGAATTGTCTGGCCTCCCCTTCCCACGTCTGATGGCTACAATAATGCTTTGGCTGAGAGATGCACATTTTTATTTCCCATCTGGACACAGTATCTGGGGAAGAAAATTAAGGTAATGGAATTGATAAACTTGGCTAAGGAGAACCCCGTCAAGAAGGAGTGGGAAAAAATAAACAGTAAGGAATGATGTGCCCTGTCATCTGACAGACAGGGGTAGATGAGCATTCAATGTCTCACTGCACAAAAGCAAAGGCAAACTAGACGGGGACCATGGGTCATTTCTGATGGAAAAAATCTTGAGTTTAAGTCCTATATAGAATTTTTCCAGAAAGTGAAGTTATGGGATGGTCAAATCCACAATTCTTTAAAGAAATCCCTTTTTAAAAATACCTCCAACTAAGGATAGGAGAAACATTTATTTTTCACTGGATGGCCATTTATGCCTCCAAACTTTGTACCAGGTATTACCTATGTGTTAACTATTCAAAAATTTTCAACTAAAAAATACTAAAGATGAAATTAAAAGACATTAAATGTAATGTTCCCTTAAGAAAAACAATACAGTATGTGTAGTTTCTTAGAGAAGCTTATTTCTCCAAATATTTTCAAGTCAAAACTATGCCACAGGACACATTCTTCCTTGGCTGTGCAGCAAAAGTTGGAAATTGCATTTATTTTTTAGCAGATGGCAAGATTTTTCTTTCTGTGAAAGAATTCATCTGTCCTGTGACTTTTTACAGAGTTTTCTGAAGAAATGGCTGAGTAACCACTCCAGGAACCAAGTAGACAAACAACTTGAAACCTAAACTTATCTTTAAACAGTGTTGTAAATATGGGAAACTAACATAGCAGGCATACTGTCTTTTTTTTTGCTTTTTTGTTTTTTTTTTAATCACCCACCTCTGAAATAAATTCTTCTTCAAGGTGCTGGTGGTGAAAGCTGGAGGAATCCTGTAGTTCTTCCCTGTACTCCTTCCCCAAAAGGTGGATGCTGAATTCTGCAATCTGTTCAGCTGCTGGTTTTGTGGCTTCTTCTATCACATTCTCAATTTCATTGCTAATCTGGATTTTCAGAGAAAGAACAATAATTGCCAAGGCTTATTCATTCAATCAAAAAGCATGTATTGATTGTTTCAATGTGTCAGAACTGTGCTAAAGGCAACCTCTGAAGATAACATTATTATACTGTATTTGACTTTGGAACAAATTGGGTAGACTTTAAGACATAGGCCAATACTGAAATTACTATGCATTTGTTCATTCCTTTGAATGCACATTGCACAGTTCAGGACAAGGTAGAAAATTTTCCACAGGAAACCATCAAGGTGAGTTTAAAAATAGTTGACTGCTATAATTATCATCTGAAAATAGCCTAGAAGGGTTGTTTCCAAACTTTTTTGTCTTAGAGCCCTTTATACTCTTAATAATCGTTGAGGAATCCAATGTATGTGGGTCACACCTATAGATAGTTACCAAAAAAAAGACTAAAAGAGAAATTTTAAAAATATTAATTCATTTAAATATAATATAATCATCTCAGTTCATGTAAAAATGAAGAAAATATTCTGCAAAATAAAAAAATAGTGAGAAGAGTGACATTGTTTATATTTTTGCAAATTCTTTAATGTCTAGCTTAATAGAAGACAGTTGGATTCTTCTATCTGCTTCTGTATTCCATTAGTTACAATATGTTGTTTTAGTTGACACACATGAAAAAAATCTGGTCACACAGGTATCTATCAGAGAAGGGAGGAATATACTTAGATTTTTCAGATAACTGTGGATATTCTTTTTTGATGCTATACCTAACTCAACAAGCAGTAATTTCTTAAAGGTTAGTTGCTATGTGGAACCTGAACCCATATTCAACAAACTTTTTGTACTCTGTAACATAAAAACCCAGGCCTTCTACTGGCCAAAGCTGAAATAATTTAAGCAACGATAAATAATGGATTATAACCCAAAGAATAAATTAAATATCCATGAGTGTATACTGATATAATAAATAAATGATGAAACAAATAAATGAAAGGGAAGTGACAACAGTTTCTTAGAGAATAATTTCAATAATTAATAAAGGTAGAAAAAATGATGGAAATAGAAGATCACTACTAGAGTACTACAGTAATAATTATCACATGCAAAATACACTTAAGTGCATGTAATCCAAGTTTCTCCATTTTGATACATAAGAAAACCAGGGATTGAATAAGATGAATGACTAGCATAAAGAATCACAGCATGTCAATGACAGAGTCAGGAAGAGAATATCAGGGCTTTTTTCATTGTATCGTTTATCATCCCTGATGAATCATACAGTCAGAAACCTTTAAAACTTCAGAATGGGAAAGAACCTCAAAGATTCCACCACTCCTTCTGATGCTTGAATTTTCTTCATAATATCCTTGACAAATGGCTGCTTATCATCAGTTCAAATGGCTCTGATGAGAAAGAAGCATGCCTTTCAAACACAGACTACTACACTTCAAAAATGCTCTCATGGTTGGAAAGTTCTTAATATTAAACCCAAATTTACCTTCCTATAAATTCTACCATTGATCCAAATTCTATAACCTGTGACACATTTAAAACTTAGTTGCACAAAGCCCGTCGAATATGTACAGGCAGCTATCACGTCTTCCCTGACTTTTCACTAGTTCCTTTCCTCCATACATTTCTCAGGCTCTTAATATCTTTCTTAGAGAATGACACTCACAAGTGAAGTCTAGCCAATGAAAATATGCAATATGTTGTTTTAACAGAAATATATGAAAAAATCTAGCCACACATCTCTCTTATAGTAAACTGTATTTCAATTAAAACAATCTAAAATTACACTAGCTTTTGTCTTTTCAGTAACTGCATCATACTACTGATTCACAGTAAGACTATATCAACAAAAACTCTTAGTCCTATGAAATTTTGCACAAGACTTTGCATTTTTTCCGTATTAAGCTTCATCTCACTAAATTTTCAAAGAGACTCATTTCCAGTTTATTATTTTAAAAAATCTTGAGTAGTATTGCTGCTACAGAATACTGAAAACGCTAAGTAAATATTTTAATGGTTTTAATGCATAGTCTGCAAGAAAGTAAAAAGAAAACAAAACAAAACCAAGGTGTCAAAAAACAGGAATCCAGAGAGTTGAGTCAGTGTCGAAGGTGGCAGCTTCCATGGAGCATCTGCTGATCCTTTGTGACCTAGGCTTTAATTTTAAATAGCACAAAGGGACAGAATACAAAGTAGAAGGTCTATACATGTTGACAAATCAGATCAAAGATTCCCACATAAAGAAAGGATTCTAAAAACTCAATGAACAGTTTGAACAACAGTAGATTAAGTTGAAAGAAGAATTAGTGAAGTGGCAGACATAACTGAAAGCAACACAGAGAGACACAGAAATTAAAGTAATTAAAGTAGTTAAGAGACATGAGAGAGAAAATGAGGAGGTCAGGCATATCTAATCATGAAAGATAACAGCTGAGAATTTCTCCAAATTTATGTTAGACATAAAGTTTCACATTAAGGAAATACAACAAATTCAAACCACAATAAATAAACATAAATACACATCCATACCCACTTTTGTGAAACTGCAGAATCTTAAATACAAAATCGTACACTAAATGTATGTATATATATGCATATACATATATATACAAACATATATACATACGTGTATATGTAGATACATATATATCTTAGAAACAGCCAAAGAACACAACCAGATTACAAAGGGAGTGCCAAATGAACTGATAGTTCACTTCTCAGTAGCAACAACAGAAGCAGAAGATTGTAAAATAAAAGCTTGACAAAAAAATCCTTCAATCCAGAATTGAACATAGATTTAAAACACCTTTCCAGAATTAGAATGAAGAAATTTTCAGATGATCAAAAGTTGAGATCAAAACAGTGAGAGACTTTCATTAAATTAATATCTGAATTATATATTTCGGAAGGAAAATTACCCAGAAGATAGATCTAAAATATTTTTTTAATTAGAAAATAAAATAGTAGGGCCAGGAGCAGTGGCTCGCACCTATAATCCCAGCACTTTGGGAGGCCGAGGTGGGCAGATCACTTGAGGTCAGGAGTTCAAGACTAGCCTGGCCAACTGAAACCCCATCTCTACTAAAAATACAAAATTAGCTGGGCATGGTAGTATGAGCCTGTAATTCCAGCTACTCAGGAGGCTGAGGCAGGAGAATCACTTGAACCTGGGAGGCGGAGGTTTTAGTGAGCAGAGATCCACTGTACTCCATTTCAAAAAAATAATAAATAAATTAAATAAAATAGTAAACATCTGGGTAAATCTTAAACAAATTTTAGCTGTATAAGTAGAATATAATACAGTCTAATTAGTAGAATGAAAAAAGAGAAAGACCAAAAGTACTGAAAAGTAGCACATAGGTCAGCAAAATGATCATTTGAATTACAATGTTCTAATGTTTCTACATTGCTCAGGATAAGAATAAACATGTTGAAAAACTTAAAATTTGTTAAGTTAAATACACATTATAATTTATAGGATAACTCCCAACAGAACCAAAATATGGTATGTAATTTCTAGAAGAGTAGATGGGAAAATGCATTAGGAAAATAGCTGCACAATAAAACTACCTTGGGCTTCATTTGAACCAGAGCTACAGGCAATCTAATTTTTGTTAGGTATCTCTATATTGTTGTGTTTTCCTACTAGTTCTATAAATTGGCTTAAATCCTCTGTTTTGGATATTAATGTTCCAATTGACTGCATACAATTCCTTAATTTCCATTAAAGTGAATTCTATCTCATTCTATAAATGTTTTCAGATCTAAATCATAGCTATTCTGCCTCAGGTTCAAAGCTACAGTATCACTTTTTATTCATTCATTCACAAATATTTATCAAATGCCAGTATTTGCTAGCACCGTCTACTTGGAACACAGCTGTACTTAGCATAAAAGTATTGATTCAGGTATACTTGGAACACAGCTGTACTTAGCATAAAAGTATTGATTCAGGTACCCACTCAGGGATTACCACCAGACTTGTTCAGTGACAGGGAGTGTGACGAGGCAAAGTGGAGCGACTTAACCTGATTTCATGTAAGTTAAAATGTCCACATGGGGAAGTGAAGTTGCAAGATAACTAAATTGCATCTTCCTAGTGACTATGTTTTGTCAGAATTTGCTCTATATTTAAAAAACAGCATTTGTGAACCCCTTAATTTTTTAAATGCAGTATTTAAATATCTAACAAAATGTTTCCATATTCCTAGGCAACGTGTAATTGTTTTGTTAATCTGTATATATCTTTTGTGAGAGAGACTCAGCTATAGGATTTAGTGTTGTTCAGTGGACAGGTTTCTATTAATTATGGTATATTCACAATGCACGGTACTTTTTGCCTTTTAAACTACATAAAATGTATAGTTTTACCCTCTGAAGAGCTAAGATCTGGTCTCTTAAGGGTTAGAAGAACACAGGCAAAACCACCATAGTAAATCATGTCACAGAGGCCACAGGAGGCAGTGGGCTTACCTCAGTGACAGTCCATTTCATTTGTAATTTGAAGTCCTCTCTCACCAAAAACTCTACAATAAGAGCAGATTTACTCAGTTCTCCAAGGAACCTCAAAATTGTTGTTAACGTACTGGTTTTAGAATTCACGTCGTTTTTCTCACAGGACACTACATGAAGTCCTGTGTAGTCCAGCAATGCGAGATACACTCTCTCTTCATCTCTATGCTCCATGTTAGAAACTAAGTAACAAAACAGAGCATCACTCACACTCTCCTCTGGCCTTTCCACGCTGCTGTCTGAGGCACCTTCATAGGAGTCCACCCCTGGATGTGGAACACTGAGAGCAGCGTCTAAGAAGAAAAGCAACAACATATGCATGAATTCAGTCCCTGATTAAGTCCGAATTCCTATCAGGAAATAAGGAACTGACTGCAAAAACCATTCCCATAAATAGTTTGCTTTATTGTCCTGGAAATTCGGTGCTTTCTAACCTCAAGACACATCTGTATGGCATCTTCTCAGAACAAGAAATAATTGTGCTGCCTTTAACAAGCATATATTGAGCACCTACTGTATGCCAGACTCTGCACAAGACACTACGGACACAAAGACAACATTCCTATACTTCAGGAGCTATCTAGCAAAGGGGACAGATACTAAAAGAAGTAACTCCTCTACCAGAGAGGGGACGTGGGTAAAGGTTGGAAATTGGCTGTGAATTGACAAATGTTCAAACTGGACCTTATCATGTTATTCTGTTTTCATAGATGTTCGAAATTTCTAACACAGAGAAGTTTGTGGGGTTTTTTTAATTAAAAATAAAGAAATGAATTACCAATTTACAAGAAATATACTGGTCAAAGGAACATGCTAAACTATACCACAGAATGCAACAAGAAAATCCTTACTCTGGGAAACTCTCACAGGACGAATGACAAATGGTGGCGTTAGAATGGTTCTACGTTTTCACATTAGTGGTAGCTACAGAGTGTTTGCCTTAAAATAATTCATTAGCTCATACATTTGTTTTCAGTGGTGTTCTGACTTGTATTATATACTTAATGATTAAGGATTTTTAGGTACCCACAACATTATGCCATAAATTTTTAAAAATTACTTTTTCTTGAGAATTTTGAACAACATATAAAAAGAGAGAAATCTGATATTTTTTAAAAGTTAGTGCAAAAAAACGTACTTGTTTGGGAGACTGTCTTAAACCATAAATAATTTTAAAAGAAAAGTGAATAAAGACACAAAAGCATACCTCCCAATGTTGAAGTATCACCAACAGGAACTGGAGAAGACAGTTCAGGGCTAGAAAAAAAATGTTTGCAGTTAATGAAATGACAGACACATGAGGGTTTATTTTGGGATTTTGGAGTTGTTTTCCAAAAAGGAAAACACTAGATCACCAATTAAGGGCTCCCAAGCAAAAGTACCAAGAAGCAAAGTTTTAAAAATTAAAACATCATAATTCATTTATTTTACATTTATTGATGCATACTCAACTAGAATCACCTTACCTAGAATTCTTCCCTAGTTATCTTTTCATCACCCTGTTTTCTCTCTTCTCAGTTCTTATCATTATGTGAAATTTTATTTATCTTCTTATTTATCTCTGTCTCTAATGCCTTGGTCCTCTAGCACATTATTGCCCAAAAATGGTAGCCACTGGACACGTGTAGCAATTTAAATTAATTTAAATTAAACCAAGTTAAAAACTCAGCTCCTCATTTACACCTGCCACATTTCAGGTGCTTAATAGCTGCATGTGGTTAATGGCCATCATACTGGACAAGATGGTAAAGAACATTTCCATCACCACAGATGTTCTGTTGAACAGGAATGCATTAAGAATCTAAACTGCATGAGATTGGAGACCTTGACTAATATATTCCTGCTGTATTTTCCAGTGCCTAAAACAGTACCTGCCATTTAGTAGGCATTAAAAATATATTTTGGGGTAAATGAATACAATGTGCCAGGCAATGTAGAAGGTACTTGGCATGTAATTGTGAGCAAAACACCCATGGTATATGAAGGTTACAGTCTTATAGAAATTATACACACTAAGTCAATAATTACAGATGAGACAAGTAGCATAGACAAGAAAGTAGTGGCTGCTAGAAGGAACATAAAGCCACACACCTGATCTCATTGGAGAGATCACTGAAATCATAAAACCTATTTATGTAAAGAAAGTCAAGCTTAGAGAAATGATTTGCTGTAGGCCACATTGCTAACAGGTATCAGGTATCCTAGCTGTCGTGTTACCATGCCACTCTGCAACTGCAAGCAAAGATAAGAAGAGATCAGAAGATAATTTGAGAAAGCCCCTCCTCCTAAAGGAAAGAAAATAGGTTTCCACAAGTCCATATTTTCACATATCCCAAAGGTATAAAAGTTAGATTTGCAATAATTTGGGAACATTTTAGAATTTTCAAGTTTGTACACATGTCCTAAGAGGAAAAGGCCTATTCCCTTAACCTTTTCCAAAGATATTGGATCAGTGATGATTGTCTGTTTTCAACTCATAGCAATTAAAAACTCTCTTCAGGTCGGGCATGGTGGCTTATGCCTGCAATCCCAGCATTTTGGGAGGTCCAGGTGGGTCAATCACCTGAGGCCAGCAGTTCGAGACCAGCCTGGCCAACATGGTGAAACCCTGTCTCTACTAAAAATACAAAAATTAGCTGGGCGTGGGGTGGCACATGCCTGTAATCCCAGCTACAGGAGCCTGAGGTATGAGAATCACTTGAACTCAGGAGGCAGAGGTTGCAGTGAGCCAAGATTGTACCACTGTACTCCAGCCTGGGTGACAGAGGAAGACTCTGCCTCTACATAAATAAATAAATAAAAACTCTCTTCAGTGCTACCAAGTCAACTTCCTAAAGTAATTTGATCAACAGTAAAAAATATCTCCTTCATAGATGTGTCCAGGTCTGTGACGTGTTCAGTTAAGTCACATCTTCAGAGCCACACCTTTAGATCACCCTACTGCTCTCAATTAGATTAGAGAGGTACTCAAAGCCTCGAGATAAACACGGCACACATTTGGAGGCATCAGTTTTACTAGAAGTTTAAACAGGTGAGGAGTTAAATAAGAACTGATATATAATTTAAAACATTTTAAAATTATAACAAACATGGCTATATTACGGAATAGAATATAAAGTTTAAATGAATATGAAAATCAAATATGATAATTCAAAGACATTTTATGATTGGAGCTGGTAGGGGAGGGTCAGCTAGGGGCATGTTTTCTAAATGCCCAGGCTTTGGTAGAAAAGTTGAGAAACATTAAGTTAAAAAAAAAAAAAAAAAAAAAAAAACTTCATTATAAACATCCTTCTGGTTTTAAAAATTCTATCTAAAAAAGTAAGATGTTAAACTATTACACAAAACTCATCAGTATTGTTTATTTAGAGTACTTTTGCATAAAATTGCTTACTAAGTTTCATCTAGAAGAACCTAAAGGGTATGACATCTGGACAAGTTATTTTGATGAGCAGAGGACAGCATGAGTGATGAGGAAGCATCAGGAGGCTTCCTGGGTTACAGAAGATGGAGCTGAAAAAAATGGGAATCGGATGCATTCGGAAGAAACATTAACATAATCAGGCCTGAATAGGGTCTATCAATTGTCCACATGGCGGTACTCATTCTCATTTCATAGATGAAAGAAATAAGGTCCAAACAGGTAAAGCAACTTTGTCAGGCTCACACAAAACTTCCTAACTGTATCCAGTTCTCTTTCAATAATAACAGCAAGAATAATTACAATTAAATTTACTGAGCCCTCATCATGTGTCATACACTGCTAAGTGCTTTATTTAGGTTAACTAACTTAATTCTGGCAACCACCCTAAAAAGGAGATCCTATGATCTCATTTAGACTGATGAGGAAACTAATGCTAGAAGAGGTTAACATTTGCTCAGGGTCACACAGCTAAGCCAATGGAGGAGCTGTGATGTAAAATAGGCCCACTGAATGCCAGAAACCTCACTCTTACTCACCTCAAGTCACTTCTTCACAACATGGCCCTTACATGATCCCTACTCTTTAGAAGGGTTTCACTTGGCCTTCATGATACTGGCCTATAAAAACCAAATGACCTAAAAGTCAATGTGTAAGGTCCCAGAAAGAGGAAGGGGAACCTGGTTACAGTTGGAGACCTATGGAGAGAAACCAGATATAAGGATCACAGTAAGGCAAAGGTAGGAAAGCACAGCACAGCAACTAGAATAGGATGTTGGGATGAGGTAGCAGAGAAACCGGACTTCACCTGGGGTGAGTTAAACTGTCCCTGACATCAAATCAAATTTAAGCTAATTCTCTAACTAAGCAAGTATTCAGAGTGGAGAAGTTTGATTACTTCAGTTGAACTAGATTTCACCTTGCTAAATTCAAAATAACATTATTTTAACAGTGGTAAGTAGGAAACTCTCAGTAATTTAAATCACTTGCCTACACTCCAACTCTTAATCCCTCACCCACCCACTCTCCTTTCAAGAGACAGTAAAGAACACTTAACAACAAGAATCCTTTTACATGTTTTCATTAAGTATTCCTCCTGCAGAGATCCCTTAAAATGTCACTCACAACAGCACTGGAACACAGAGGTGTCTTGAGTTTGGAAAGAGAAATACTACTTCATTTCTAAGTCAAACCACAAAGTTGAAGCTGTTCAGCTAAGATCTTTAGCTTAATACTAACAACATGCAACCCCTTACTATCTCCTTTCCTCAGTTCATCCAGCACGTTATTCATTCTTCACCACTACTACCTAATTATGTCAATGGAATTCAGGTGGGATTGTGTCAAAAGATGCTCACAGCCACATAGAACATACATTTAAAGACATTGTAAAACAAGCCAAGCACAGGTTCATATGCAGATTCCTACTCCCCTTGATGACCTTCTATACTTTGCTTTGCTCTTGAATATGTTACTATAATCACATGTGACAGCAAAAGAATTCAAAGAAAGGAGTTAAGAAACCTGAGTACTAGTCCTAGATGTATCATTAACTTTGTGTATGATTTAGGGAAATACCTTAGTTGCTCTGGGCCTCAAGAACTTAACCTTTAAAACAAGAACACCTCCATGTCTTCTATTTCATGAAGGTGTTGACAAAAACCAAATAAAATATTATATGCAGAAGCATCATAAAAAGTATGAAATGCTAAACAAATATAAAACAGGGGTTAATGGGATAGTGACATATGTCATCCCAAACAGAATAAAACATTTGCTGAAAAAAAATATATACAGGCCGGGTGCAGTGGTTCACACCTGTAATCTCAGCACTTTGGGAGGCCAAGGTGGGTGGATCACCTGAAGTCAGGAGTTTAAGACCAGCCTGGCCAACATGGCGAAACCCCATCTCTACTAAAAAACATACAAAAATTAGCCAGGCATGGTGGCACATGCCTGTAATCCCAGCTACTCAGGAGGCTGAGGCAGGAGAATCACTTGAACCTGGGAGGCGGAGGTTGCAGTGGGGCGAGATCAGACCACCGCACTCCAGCCTGGGTGACAGAGCAAGACACTGTTGTGCCAAAAAAAAATATATATATATATATGTATATATATATACACACACATGTTTGGCTTTGTGATTCATGATGGGTATTCTCAACTACAATTCTCAACTACAAATATAAATTAATTGAGACACACACACAATCCCAAAGCACAATCATTATGCTGAGAATATCACCAGCGACCTGATAATAGACTTGGGTGATTAGGCAGAAATTCTGTTATTAATTTAACAAATATTTAGTAAGCACATATCCTAGGCTGAGCCTTGCACTGGTTATTGGGGATGTAACCATAAAACCAGATGGCAGGAGTTTAAGCAGTGACTGGAGCTAAGTGGACATTCTTTCAAGATGTCTGGCTATAATGGAGATAAATGCAGGCTTTTTAAAAAATATGTAACATGAGAGGGACTTGAGCATGTTTAAATACTAATGGGAAAGGGTCAGTAAAGAAGGAAGTTGGAGACTCAGGAGAAAGAGAGAAACAATGACAGGCAGAGGTTTCTAAGAGGAAAGACAAAATGTAAGGTCCTGAATACAGGCAGAAAATGTTCTTTTCAAGAGTTGGCAACTGATGGCAGAGACATTTAAAATAGGATATAGCAGAGTATATGGTGCAAGACACACATTAGCAGATGTATTCGAGTTTGCATAGAGGTCTGCAATTTAAATTGCAGAGAACTGTGATTGGCAGAATACTAACCTCCCAAAGAGGTCCATATCTTAATCCCCAGAGAGGGGAATTAAGGTTGCAAGTAGAATTAAGC